ATACTATTTTAGGTTTGAGATTGGAAGAAAGGTTAAAAAGGTAATTTCATGTTTAAAATAGGTCAATTTGAAAGTCAAAGGGCAATAATGTCAATTTACATATGTTGAATGATGGATGGGGGCTCCTTTGTTAACTTTATCAAACGTGAGGGGGTGCCATTGAAGAAATCCCATCAAAGCAAAACACCCTGAATCGACGATTCTCAATCACTTTAATTGCTTATCAACGATTCGCAAATCATCAAAACCCTGGCCACTACAATTGAAGCCCTAAGTCGCTAACATCAAATATTGAAACCATAAGTAGCCACTACAACATTCTGTCGCCGTCAATGACATCAGTGTTCACCAACTAATGTACCTAAGGAACGGTCGTGCTTGGTCGACTTTGGAAAGTGAGGGCTAAAGATAGGCATGAAGTATGCACAACAAATTTTAAAGGTGTTGATTGGGAACATGGCCATGTGTTCGATGGATTCGACGAGCACAATGATGCAACATTCGTGAACAGTGAGCTCTCTAAGCCAACGTCAATCTTCGAGCACAAACTATGGGTGGTGATTAGTCAGATCCGAGCAATCATCCTTCCTCCTCTTTGTGCATCACCTCCCACCACCACAAATCACCCAAGCTCCACCACCCCATTTGTAATTTTAATAATATATATATATATATACACACACACATACACTCACAATTGGGCTACTACCCTAGTTGGCTCTTTTTGATCGGGCAGAGTGGAATCGACGGTGAGCGACGACGTATCGACGAAGAAGTAATGTGAACCGATGACTGATTGGGATTCAAAGATTGAGAATCTGTAACTGGGTTTCGACGCTGTAGTGAGTGGAGAGAGAAAAATAAATAATGGGGTAGGTGGTGGTGGAGGTGGCGATGATGGGTCCTAGTAGTGGGGTGGAGGTTGCGGTGGTGGATGGTGGGGGTGTTGGCAGTGGAAAATGTGGGTTATTGGTGCCGATGGTGGGATGGAGGAGATTAAAAAGGTTAAAGAAAAAGTAGAGGTAGGTGAATTAATTTTATTTCTCCTCAAATAATGGCATTCCAGTCATTTAATGGTTATGATATTTTATAGGGTAAAGTGCGGGTAAAGTGCAATTAAACCCCCCCTCCCCTCCAAAAAAAAAAAAAAAAAAACTGTCAGCCAAAAGCATAAAACCTCCCTAAATTAAAAATTGCTCCATAAACTATCAAGAAAGTGCATTTTCAGGTCAAAAATAAAAATTGATGCTCCCTTAAGTCACCGGAAATATTAAATTACCCCTTAGTAAAGGGATATGGTTTTGTTGCTTTAATTGTTTCTCTTGATGATGTGTAAAATTGTGATGTTTCGCAGTTTTTCATTTTTCATTTTTCGAATTTTCGGATTATTTTATTTTCTACCTTGTTTTGAGTGTCACGCACCATTTAGCGTGCCACGAAGGTTCCGATAGTAATTTGGGACATTTCTTTAGGTTTAGAACTCTTAGAAATGCATTTTGGGCCATTTAAGTACTTTTTGAATTTTCATGCTTGGAGGTCCTAATCCCGGATTTTTCGTACTCGAGATTATTTTTCGAGGTCATTAAATTTCATATTATGTTATTTGGAGTGTATCCATGTGGTTGTATGTTTATTTGCCCATTTGTAGCATGTATTAGAGGTGAATATGCATGGTAAGAACAATTTGGTCATTTTTAGGGTCAATCGGGGCCAGCGATGACCAAAGTTGTCAAAAAGGACCACATGACCAAAATTTGCCTCAGCCGAACCAAGCTCTCTCTCTCTACAAACTCTTCCTCTCTCTAAAATTGAAATTTGAAGCTATGATTTCATCGTCTTCCCTTTGGAATTGAACTTTGCCATTGAAGGCAAAGTTTTGACGAGAGCTACAATTTGATTAGAGCCGATTCTCGATTAGACCACTTTGGATTTTCAAAAATTGGGGGATTTTTATGGTTTTTCTCTTCAAATTGAGGTATGGGTCTCTAAACCTCACTACTTCTAGTTTTTTATGTGTAATTTGTGAAATTGATGAATGACCATTAGGGTTTATTATTGTAAAGCATGATATTTATGTTTTATGTGGTATTTGTGTTGAATTGGATGCTTATATGAATTAATGTGAGATTATTTGATAAATTGTTACTACTACATGCTTTACATGTCTAAAATGCCTTAATTATGAGATTAATAGCATGAAAGTTATTGTAGTGAGTACTTCCAAATCATGCAAGAATGATGGTAGCTAATGTATGAATTTTCATATTGGTATGATGTCGAAGTTCATGATACATTCATGCATTGTGATTGGGTTAGAAAAGGGAAATTGATTTTGAAATGAAAATTTAATTTTTTTTAGAAAGGTTTTGAAAGGATGTTTGCGAAAACCAAATGGTAAGGAGTCGCCTTGTGTATGTGGCGTTAATAGAACCTAGAGGGAACATAGGGAGACTGCCTTATGCGTGGTTGAGCTACCTAGGCCCCAAATGACACTAAGGAGTTGCCTTCGGTCACGATAGTTAGCCAATCCTTCTCCCGTGGTGTCGGAGAGTTGCCTCAGGTTGGGTTATATTAACGGTATAACGGTTGTTGCTTTGGCAAAGACTGAAAAATAGGGAGTGACATTGGCATTGCATTGCATATTGTTGATTATATTCGGATTTGTGTGATGATGAGTAGTTGATCTATTTTCCCCAAAGTAAGCATGACCCCCTCTTCTATACCCCATTCTTTGCATGTTATTCACGGGATCATTAAGGAGTGCGTTTTAAGTACCTCCTACTAAGTCGTTGTACTCACCCGTTTATTACCATTTTTCAGGTCACGACAAAGATGTAATTGTCGATGGACCCTCATAACTTAGTTAGGGTTAATGGATACATTTTGTAAACTTTTGTATTCAATACTAATCTTAATCATTTTTGTAAAGCATTGTATATGAGATGTCAAAAGTGCGCCTAACCACTGGTGAATCCCCACACACACACACACACACACACACACACACACACACACACATATATATATATATATATATATATATATATATATATATATATATATATTACTATACCTAATTTTAGCCCAACCCAAAAAAAAATAAAAATAAAAATAAAAATACTGCTATTAGCCCACCCAAAGAAATATTAGCCTACCCGATTGACAATTTCTAGATTCGCCCTTGAGCCTAACTTTGTAACACTCTTTTTCTTTTGGATACTTTGATGTTAATTGAACATGAAATGTCAATTGAATGCATGCAATGGTCATGTTGTTGTTTTGGAATGATCTACTTTATATATATATATATATATATATTGAAGACTTAAATCATCTACCTTATAATTTTTTATAAAAAATAAAATGCAATAATTTATCGAAAAATAAAATGTCCCTCACTCCAACATGACATCATTTTCAATGTACTATACTAATATGAGAAAAATATAAAGGGTAACTATGCTCTTTCTTTAAAAACTCCCCTAAACATTTTTTATTTTTTAATTTTTTAATTTTTAATTTTTTAATTTTTTACTTAACTCTCTGAACTACCCAAACTTTTGCAAAACTTAACCACCGGTAAGGTTCGTTTTGTTCCTCCGGCTAAATAGAAGCGTGATAATCACATGCCAAGGCTGTAAATTGAAAATGACAAAGCTGCCCTTATTTTATAAAACCAAAATTTCTGACACTTTCAAAAAAAAAAATTAACCCCAAAACGTCGACTCTCTCTCTATATATCTTCACCTCACAAAACCTTATGTTTGTTCTTCCCCAACCAGCCACTTCCACCATCCATGGACGCCACCACTGCCTCTCCTTATCTCTCTAATCCACCTCCATCTCTCTCTAATCCACACCCAACTCCAACAAGAAATAAAAGAAGATGAGAGAAAAAAAAAATTAACAACCCCCTCTCTCTGTTTTCTAACCCCAGGAACCCAACTTTTCCTGCAAAATCAACAACCCCCCTCTCTGTTTTCTAACCCCAGGAACCAAACTTTTCCTGCAAAATCAACGACCCCCTCTATCTGGTTTCTAACCCTAGGAACCCAACTTTTCCTGCAAAATCGATGCATGACCCCAAAGAAGAAAATATCTTAATTTTGCTGCTTGATCAACCAAAAACATCATTTTGTGGGCGACGGATCACGATTGTCGGTAACCCAATCATAAGACCCCAAATTCTAGCCGCAAGACCCATTCACAAAAGCTACAAATTCAATCGCAAAAGCCCCAAAAATCTGTTGTCGTTGATAACAAAACCAACCCATCGCAACTTCCCAAGTATTTGTATTATTTTTTTTATTAATTCCCTCCAAACACCGACCTTTGCAACCAAAACATAATTTTGTTTTGGGGAAGAAGATTGTTGTATGGCAGAGAGAACAGTAGCTGTGGCGGCAGTGGCGCCCATGGACGGACAATGGAGGTGGTCGTCGTCCTCATCTTTGTTTCGTGCTAGTGCTATGTGATTGTCACTAAGGAACGCGGCTTCCTAGTCATCTCCTCCTCCTCATCATCCTTCGTATTTCCTCTCACAAACACAACTAGGTCACCACCAGTGATGTTTTAGTGAACAAATCGAGGGATGACTGGTTGCTTCTGGTACTAAAACGAGGTGGGACGGGTGTTTTTCTGTGGGGAGTAATATGGTGATGTGTTGGCGAATTTCTATTGGGTCTTGAGATTTTCTTTGACACATCAGCAACAGAAGTTAATAAAGCATCAAAATTGTGTCGTTCCACAGGATAATTTTGTAATCTTCTTTTTTCAGTGACGAAAATTTGCCTAGTGGCCTTAAATGCAACTTTTTAATAGTTGAGAAACTGAATGCAACTTTTAATAGTTGAGAGGGACAGTAAAAAGTTGTGGGACAGTAGGCGACTTTTAAATGTAACTTTTTAATTTAGGGAGTTTTGTGTAATTAGCTGATAGTTCAGATGTGTTTTTTTGCTGTTTACCCAAATATAAATTACTACGAGTAACGTAAATGATAAACGATGGCGTTGTTTGCCGTCTGCATTTGGAGAGGAGGGATATAGATAGACAGACAGATAGATAGATAGATAGATAGAGAGAGAGAGAGAGAGGGGGGTGTGTTGTTGGCAGAGGAGACCTGAAAAAGAAACACAATGGCTTCTTTGATTAACAAACCCTTGACGTCGCTCTGCAGTTCTAACAAGACCGAATTTTGTCTCGAAAATGGGTTTATGGGACGGTGTCGCGTTGGACAACCTTCTCTGAGTCTCAAGAAGTCTGGGAAGCTCTTTTTTCCTATCGTCTGCAAAACAGTGTCTGTGAAGCCCCAAACCGAAGTTGAAGGCCTTAACATAGCTGAAGATGTTACTCAGGTCTGACAATCAACTCATTTTCACACCCATTCACGATAGTTCTCAACTGATTTGTATTTTCTTTTGGAAATTAGAGTTCGAATTATTGGTCTTTTTTAATTTTTCTTTCAATTTTTAAGTGTTGATCTTTTTATGGTATGTTGCTGAGGTTAGAGAATTGTTCTATCTATTTATTTACTTATTATTTTTTAAAAGAATACGAAGTGATGATTTTCGGCTCAGGTGAAGAAACTGAATGCTCTTTTATTTTATTTTCTTCAGAATAATTAATGTAGGCTATGAAGTTTTTTTTTTGGAAATCCGAGTGTAAGTAGGATCAATTTTTGGGTGGATATCATTCTGAGTGTGAATTGGAAGCAGATTTCTGTGTGAATCACAGTTATTCAAAGAACAAATTTGAGGAATTTTTTGTACCCCTATTCTTTGACTTATTTTTGGATACTTTTGAAGTTTTAATGAGGTCAACTCTTAGTTAATGATACGAATGTTGGTGTAAAGGTTTGGACTTGTCTTCTTGAACTTTACTAATTTCATACGGATTATATTTACTAGAAAGAAGACAATTGTTTGTTTAACTTGTAGAATTATTATATTTTAAAAGCTGAGGTACTCAGTTCAATTTTATTTCTTTTATTGATAGGTAGACTGTCATCTTTAATTTGGATTATGGCAATGTTCAGGGTTCAGTTATTTGATGAACAAAATGAATTATAATGATTATCTGACGTCCCACAACATTTGGGGGGAGAAGTTGCTGTAACTTATAAGGGGGTGTCTCCTACCTATGTAGATGTGTTTTCAAAACTGTGAGCATCAAGAGGGTGCAAAGCGGATAATATCCGCATTTTGTGAGGCGGGTCTTGACATGTGGTGTCAGAGCGAATCCCTCCAAAATACGGGGAACGTGCACAAGTCCATAAGGGTCATTGAAATTATTATTTTGATATAGCATGAGGCGGGTTATTGCAATTATTTGATTATATTATTTTATTTGGTGCTATTAATATTGTTCAGGGTAATCTGTCTTATGCCTTGGAAGGAAAATATAAAATGGTTATTATTATTATTGTTGTTGTTCTTGTTGTTGTTTTGGGTAATGTGCCTTATTTCTTGCGGGAAAAAAAAAAATCGCTGTTGATGACATTTGGATATTAAATTACGTTCCGGAACTCTGGCCAAAGTAGGTAGGGTTGACAAGTTAATCTTGTTAGCAACTGACCGCTCTAGAAGCTTAACATGATAGAGAGAGGAAAACAGAATACGTCAATACTCAACTTCAATTGTGGTTTTTCATGAGTGGGTCATTCATGCAAATAGATTATACATCATTGAGGAGGTGACAAGGTTTGACTGCATGACTTTCCCGTTCAAATATCATGTTAACACTGACTATTCTAACAGTTAAAGCTGATAGATAGGGGTGTAACAGCATACTTGAACAAATCTAAGTGTGTTTTGATTCTTCTAACCCCATGATCATCGTACTCACTATAACCAGGAATGCTGGTTTGTTTGGTTCATGAGTTTCTGTACAGTTTCTTTTAGTTATTCTTAATTTACTAGCGTTTAGTTTATCTAGATTCTTCCGTTGATTGCTTGGTAACAGCTTATTGGGAAAACACCAATGGTATACCTGAATAATATTGTAAAGGGGTCTGTTGCAAACATCGCTGCCAAGCTCGAGATCATGGAGCCATGTTGCAGTGTCAAGGACAGGTGAGTGACAGAATATTTCTGCTTTGTGTTCTCAGACACCTAAAGGAACTAAAACCTTCTAAATATGGCTTGCATGTGTTATCATGCGATGGACAGTCAATAGTTTTTGAGAGATAATATTGAAGAATACTTAGGTGGTGAGATCCTTGGACCTATAAATTATGTTAATTTATACCAGAAAAGGCTTTCTAATATATGGTTCATCATTATCCAATCATACTCGGATGAAGCATAGACATTTTCTCTATATTCAGTTATTTGGTTATGAAATCAATATATTGTATTTGTAAGTCAAAATCATAGTGTTCTTATGAAGTATATAATTTAACAATTACAGATGATCCTGGTTTGTCCCAAAGATTTGAATGAAGATGTTAAGTATTCTAATCAAACTTTTTTATATTTGGTTTCAGGATTGGATACAGTATGATAGCTGATGCTGAGCAGAGAGGACTTATAAAACCTGGGAAGGTAACAAGATAGTAGACACAAGTAGTACCTTTGTATCAGGAATTTGCACTTTACGTCGCCTGTTTCTTGCTCTATTGGAACGATATAATCCTTCTGGAATAAGCTTAGCTGTGCCCTAAATATAACCAACCAAACAAAAATTGATTCTATATGCATCAAAATTTTTGTTGCACCATTGAACCGGAAAATATCAAAGTACTGAGATGAACAGTTGTGATACCCCTCGATTCTAGAGCCACGGGTGATCAAGTCCGAGCACAAAATACAAGGGATATCAAACAATTAATATTTAAATAAGCATCTGAATTCAAAAAGAATAATAAAAAATAAATAAATAATAAGCTGAAGGGAACTAAATAATAAATCATTATTTAAAAATTCTCAAATAAATAATAATTGAAATCCCATAATAAAATCCTCCAATCCTCTGATACCAGTAATTACTTAATTGAAATAACTGAACTAAAATAAATCCAATAACTAAAATATGAAGAAGAGTCCTACGTAGAGCCGGAAGAGTGGATGACTGTCTCTGCTCGGTGCGAACAATCTTTAAGACTGAACTGACGAATACCTGGAAAGTAAAGGTGGGTAAGGCTCACAAACAAGTTCTAATCTACTACATCCCAAACAGAGACCCGATACACGTACACATCCTAATTAATTCAACAATAACTAAATAGTCCATATGTAGATATATACACACTAAAGGAACCTCACTAGACTATAGAGTTATCTCAACCTGAATAGTAGGCAACATGCAAAACGCACATATAGTGGGCATGAGTACCTAGACCTACCAGGGTACACAACTACACTATATCTAGCTATACATCCCTGGCAATATACGCACCCTAACCACTGAACCTGAGACTCAAGCTCATATCATGGCGTATAATTATATATGTAAAATTCGTCCTATCCAACCATCAAAATAAACTATCCAAATATTATTTTAATAATATGTCATCCAATTGTTCCGTTGACCTGACTGGAATAAGTAGGACTTAACTATATAGTTAATTCCGTTCCCTTATAAATATACATAGGTTGGACTTAACTATTCCGTTAATCCATTTCTAAAATGCCCCCATCCCATAATGGTGCAACCATGATATCAATCATATATGCATTAAATAAATAGTTAATGAATCTATTTACATTAAATCATGCAATCCAATTCTTAATGAATCTATTTTCATTAAATAAATATTTAATATTGATCCATCAACCAAAAACCACAATATTAGTTTAATATCTTAGCATTTAATCCGATTAACATTTAAAAATATTTAGTGCAAAAATCATCTAATCAAAACAAAATAAAAAGAAAACACATGAAGAATAATTTTAAAAAAACATTTACTTAAATATTCCATTCAATCCATATAAAAAAAAAAAAAAATTTATTTTCTTTTTTTCCTTTCTCGTTCGGCGTGCCCACTTATAAAGGACAAATCTCTAATTCCCCTCACATCACAAACTTATTCTAGGGACTTTATGTTATATATATATATTCCGTAAAGTAAAGCAATTAACATTGACCACCTCGATCGGCGTGCCAACTTAAAAAGAACAAATCTCTAATTTTTTTCCTCACAGCACAAACTGATTGTAGGATAAAAAGTTTTATGTTTAAAAAAAAAAAACTAAAGAACTGGCCACCAACAGTGCACCTAGTACAGCGCCACCAACAGTGCCCAAATTCGACGGCACCAGCTTCTTCTTGCCTTTGACACGTTTTGTCCATTTTTTTTTATCACCATTGTTAATGATCCTATGAACCAATCTATGTTCTAGAATTGTCCCAATAGCAATTACACAATATATAAACACACCTAGAACATCATAATCACAATTTATGCATCAATTTATCAAAATATGAAAATTCATCACAAACCCATTATTAAGACACACGAACTGAAATTTTCAAATTAATCCATGTAATTAGATCCAATTAATTTAAAGAACCTAGAATTAATCTAGCATGCATAGGGTATGAATCAAAGGAGAAGAGAAGAATTAAAACTTGCCTTTAGGGATTTGATCAAAAAACCCTAACCTCCTGTTTTCTCTTTCTTTTCCTTCTTTCTCTCTCTAAAATATATTACGTAATATATTTCTAGCCTCCTTTTCCAACCCTATAATTATGTATTTATAGGCTAAATAATAACCCTACTCCTTTTTCCAATCCAAATCAAACTAAAAAAAAATGAAAAAAAATAAAATTTAAATACTAAAAAGATAACTAAAATATATGTTACGTATAATCTATATATATTCTTTTTTATATATAATATATAAATATACATCAGATTATTACTAAAGGACTTTCCTTATATATATATATATACATACATATACAACTATCCATAGGTAATTATCCGTACCCACTAAACCCCTTATCCAAATAGTCCATGGGACCCAATTGGTTGGTCCATTACTACTATCCATATCCAATTCCTTAAAAATATATATATATATACAAAAGTAAAATAAAAAAAAAATAAAAATAAAATAATTAAATTCCTAAACAAATACAAACCATTGCATACAATTTAAACAAAGAATTCAATTAACACATAAACAATCAAATCAATTAAACAAGTAAACAATTAGCCAAGAAATCAAATAAACAATTAAAAATGCAATTAAAATAACTAAAAAAAATACCGAGACTATCCTTTTAAAATCAATGGTATTACATTCTTCCCCCCTAATAATAGGAATTCTGTCATCGGAATTCGCCCTTACCTTTTTCCATTATATCTGGAAACTGTGAGTGAATGATATCCTCTCGTTCCCAAGTAAACTCAGCCTCATTATGGTGACTCTACTTGACACGTACTAACGATATAACCTTATAGCGAAGAACATGATCCCTATAGTCTATAATGTGACATGGTGGCTCCACATATGTTGCATCCGGTTGCAACTCAATCTCACCCACATCTATATGCTGATAGCGATCCTCATCTCGCAAAAATTTCCGCAACATGGAAACATGAAAAACATTGTGGACTTGATGCAAGTGGTTCGGAAGTGCTAACTGATAAGCTACAGCTCCAACCCGATCCGTAATCATGAAAGGACCAACAAAACGCGGTGACAACTTCCCTTTCTTCCCAAAGCGCATTACTCCCTTCATGGGAGACACTTTGAGTGAAACCTGATCTCCAACCTGAAACTCCAATGCACGAGTACGACGATCTGCATATCTCTTCAAAAATCCTGACACAAAGCTCGAATCCCTAGCCAATATAATAGATAATGGTATACCATGTAACTTCACAATCTCTGTAATGTAAAGTCGCGCTAACTGTTCCGAAGTGTAATCAGTGTGAATAGGCAAGAAATGAGTTAACTTGGTCAACCTATCAACGATGACCCAAATGGAATTGTGATTCTTAAATGAATTAGGCAATCCCTCCACAAAATCCATAGAAATGCTCTCCCACTTCCACTCCAGTATAGATAGTGGCTGTAAAGAACCTGGTGGTCTCTGGTGATCAATCTTGACCATCTGGCAAGTACTACACTTAGAGACAAAGATAGCAATGTCCTTCTTTATACCTGCCCACCAAAACTGCCGTTTCATATCCTGATACATCTTGTCTCCTCCTAGATGAACAGAAAACTCCACTGGTGAGTCTCAGTCATCACATCCTTCCTCAAATCGTCAGCAGAAGGTACTACTAAATGCCCTTTGTACCTTAAGCCTCCATCAGTTCCCACATGATAAAATGGAACCTCCCCAGAAGCTATCTCTGTAACCTTATTAATGCACTGCTGATCTGTGAGTTGTGCCTTCAGTACCTTGTGAATAATCGAAGGTGTAACTACCATACAAGCCATAAAAGCATTGGACAACTCATCAACTGTCTTCAAAGCATCCCACTCAATGGTGAATAATACAGAAAGACTCGCATGGGGTCGGCGACTAAGTGTATCTGCCACCACATTCGCTTTCCCTGGATGGTACTGTATAGAGAAATGATAGTCTTTCACAAACTCTAACCATCGGCGCTGTCTCATATTCAGCTCTCGCTGAGTGAACAAATAGTACAAACTCTTGTGATCACTAAATAATTTGAAGGACTCTCCCAACAGATAATGCTTCCAAATACGTAAGGCAAATACCATAGCTGCCAACTCCAAATCATGTGTTGGATAATTAAGCTCATGAGGCTTAAGCTTATGAGATCCATACGAAATTGGTCGTTCCTCCTGCATCAAAACACACCCAAGACCTTGCAAAGAAGCATCTGTATAGACAAGATACTCTATCCCGCTCTGTGGCGTAGACAGAACCGGTGCAGAAGTCAACTTGCTCTTTAGCTCACCAAAAGCTTTCTGACAGTATTCATCCCATACAAACTGTACACCATTCTTAGTCAAATAAGTGAGTGGTCCCACTATCTTCGAGAACTCCTGAATGAACCTACGATAATATCTTGCTAATCCGAGGAAACTCTGAATCTTCGTAGGTGAAGTAGGTTGTCCTCATTCTACCACTGTTGAGACCTTGGCTGGATCTACCGCTATCCCTTCTCTGACACTACATGACCCAAAAACTTCACTTTTCGTAGCCAAAATTCATACTTCTCGAATTTGGCATATAACTGATGTTCACGAAGCGTCTGCAACACTGTGCGAAGATGTCTAGCATGATCGTCCTCCTACTTAGAATATATCAAATTATCATCAATGAATACGATGACAAATTGATCTAAGTGCCCTGAAGACTCTGTTCATTAAATCCATGAAGACTGCTGGTGCATTAGTCAATCCGAAGGGCATGACACGAAACTCATAAGAACCATATCTAGTTAGAAACGCTGTCCTATGAACATCTTGCTCCCTAACCCGAAGTTGATGATTTCCAGAACGCAGATCAATTTTAGAGAAATATGTAGCTCCCTTCAATTGATCAAAAAGATCATCGATCCTAGGCAAATGATACTTATTACGAATAATAATCTTGTTCAACTCCTTGTAAT